CAGAAGTAAGGATGGTGTGGTATTGCCACCCTTACTTCTGCGCTGCTGCTGGCAGCGGTGCTGCCTTCAGAGCCGGGCTCCCAGCCAGCAGCCGCCGCTCTCCGGCCACCCAGCTCTGTAGGCAGCGTCGCCGTCAGCAGCAGCGCAGAAGTAAGGGTGGCAATACCCTACAATAACATTGTGATCCCCCTCCCCCAACCCTTTTGGGGTCAGGACCCCGACAGTTACACCACTATGACACTTCAGATTTAAAGATCTGAAATCATGAAATTGACAATTTTTAAAATCCTATGATGACCAAAATGGACGATGAATTTGGTAGGGCCCTAGGTGTGAATCTGAAGGTGGAAGACAATTTGGGTGAAAGTGACCTTGAAATGGCAGATGTCATGACTTTAAGGAAAGAAAGGAGTGAAAGCAGGAGAATAAGGACAATGGACTTCCAAACAGCAGAGTTCAACGCACCTAGAGAGCTGGTCGGTAAGGCCCCATGTGTAGAAATCAAAGGGAAAAAGATGTTTAGGAGAGTTGGCAGTTCCTCAAAGAGAAAATATTCAAGGAGCAACAGGTAGGGTTGCCAACTGTCTAGTCACACAAACCCAAATTATATCATATTAATATCCCTATGGGGTGCAGGGTCACAGTGGGATTCTGCTGCCTGCCTGTCTCCCTGAGCGACCATGTGATTGACCCTCCTCCCCGGTGAATAGAGGGGCTGTCAGTGGGGCAGCAGATACTGAGTGTGGAACTCTTGCTCTTTCAGGGGCTGGTGACCTTCGAGGAGGTGGCTGTGTATTTCACCAGGGAAGAGTGGGCTCTGCTGGACCCCGCTCAGAGAGCCCTCTACAGGGATGTCATGCAGGAGAACTATGAGAATGTGACCTCGCTGGGTAAGGATTCCCGTCCCCTCGGTTCTTAGAAGGGGAAATGAAGAGTTAAGGTTCACCACATCCTGCGATGTAACCTTAACTCTGCCCTGTTTCAGCAACACCCCAACATGCCAGTGACACACACACCAGCGCTGTGCCCTGCCCTGCCCCAGGACACTCTGGGAACAGAGCCCAGCAGCAGAACAGCACAAAGTCTAACGTCTTCTCTTGGCTAAGGCAAAACGTGGGTTCAGGTCTGGCATAAAGAAGAGAAGCTGCCTGCCCCTGGCCAGCCCTCAAACGCTGAGCCGCACAAACCATCCGAGACTTATAAAACGTTACCACCCTGGATCCTTGTGCCGAGGATTCCTTCTGCGTCATCGCCTTCACTAACCCTTCACTGAGCCCTGGAGACCCCTAGCGCGGCTGTCACCAGAGTGCTGCTGATCCCCGTGGCAAGGTCACACCCTTGTGCACTGACACAACCTACAAACTCAGCACTGACATGAGGCAGACTCAGTCCCTCAGGGGTCACATGCACCTCTCTGCATACCACAGTCACAGTCTGCCCATCTGCTCCAACGGCTCCCTCCACCATCCGATTACAGCTGCAGCTGGCCCAGGGCACACAGCTACGGGCTAGGCAGATAAATGCTGGTGTTCCTGTCTGTGGAAAACCCAAACCACGGCATGTTCTCTTAGTCCTTCCTCGTATCTATTATAGTTTCATAGACTATCAGGCCACTAGCCTTACATCCTGCATAATACAGGCTGTAGAAATTCATCCAGTTACTGCAGTGCTGAGATGAATATCTTGTGTTGGACTAAATCATCTTCCCGAAAGGCGTCTGTCACGGAGTCCCTGGGCGATGCTCTGGAACTGCTCCCTACGGAGCCCGGCAGGACTCTGGGGAGCCTCCTCTCTCCGAGCACACTGTCTCCAGGGCAAGCAGCTTCCAGCTTCCTGGGTCTGACCTCGGAGCATTCAGCCTCCCCTGCCCCTCCGTGCGCTTCCCGCAGCGAGTCGCCCTGGTGGAGTCCTGGGGCAGCCAGAGGGTCCTGCACCCCAACTCCGCAGTCAGACGTGACTCTCAGCCAGCCGGGAAAACTGAAGGTTTATTAGACGACAGGAACACGGTCTAAAACAGAGCTTGTAGGTACAGAGAACAGGACCCTTGAGTCAGGTCCATCTTGGGGCCAGGGAGGCCAGACCCCGTCTGGGCCCCTCTCCATTTCCCCAGCCAGCTCCAAACTGAAACTCTCCAGCCCCTCCTCTGCCTTTGTCTCTTTCCTGGACCAGGAGGTCACCTGATCTCTTTGTTCTCCAACACCTTCAATTGGCACCTTGCAGGGGAGGGGCCCAGGCCATCAGTTGCCAGGAGACGGGATGTCGGCCATTCTCTGAGCAGACAGCATCACACTGGCCCTCTACGGCTCTGCACCAATCACACCCCCTTATCCCACCACCTAGATACTTAAGAAAGGCATAGGGGAAACTGAGGCACCCACACAGTATTCAGAGAAACCATTAAGAACATTCTCACTTCATCACAGCATCCAGGCTTGATTTGCGTACTTCAAGAGATGGAAAGTTGTCCACTTCTATTGGTATTTCGTTAGATTTTGCACCACTTTCCCAGATCTATTGCCAGTGGCTATTGCCAGCTTCAGAGCTAGAGGGTAAGGGCAAAAGTAAGAGAGCTTTGTCGGGGTGGTATGTGTGTAAACTCTCTGTTTCATTCCTTCATTTCCTCGTTTTAAGTTTAGCCACCATCCACGTGCTGGAAGGGCACGAGGCAGCACTGGGCCACCGTAACTTTGCTTTAATGTCATTTGTGGGCATTTAATTTCCTTGTTTTTAATGGATTTTTTGGTTGTCTAACTGTCTGTACACTCGAGCTTTGATGGCATCGTTATGTCCGGTAGGGATGTGATTTTTTTTTTTCCACCCAGCTAACTGACAGAGCAATGTTGGCAAAACTTTTCCGTAGCGAGCAGGCCAAACGCTACATGTGGATGTTCGAACACTTCAAAATATTGCTCTTAGCTCAGAAATGTTTGGTATCAGGGCAAAGCGTCCAAGAATGCAGGATTCAAGAAAAATCCGCAACACGCACGGTGTGAAAGTTAACAGCGGTAGGGCTCAGATCCGATGGCCACAGCATGTCCTCCTGAGGCAATCACTGTGAGAGCAGACTGCTGGGAACCCCCTTGTTACCCACAAAAAATTAGGGCAACCCTCTTATACCCTATCGAGGTCTCAAGGCATGACCCGGTCAATTTAGGTACTCCTACCCTTTCCCTACTGTGGGCTCGGGGTCTAAAGCACCTACCTTTACCCATGGGGCTCAGGGAAAACCTGGTCAATTTAAGTACCCATCCCTCCCCACGGGGCTTGGGGCTCTACGGGTCTGCAGAACCTTTTCCCAGTGAAAGAACCTTAGACAATTATGCTCTAAACATTTATTTATTAGCTACACACACAGAATCCATGTGCCAAGCAAATCTCTTACGCTCACTGTCAGGGCCGGCTCCAGGCACCAGCGGAGCAAGCACGTGACTGGGGCGGCACATGCTAAGGGGCGGCATTCTGCTTTGTCTTTTTTTTTGTGCTTCAGCAGTTTGGGCGGCAGTTTTGCTTGGGGCGGCAAAAATGGTAGAGCCGGCCCTGCTCATTGTGATGGGTCTCTCCCTCCTCCCCC